TATTCTGTGCAAAGTTAATTAGAAATAAACTATTTCTTTTAAAAATACACATGTATGAATGCCTACCTGTTCTTGCCAAGTATTGGGCAAGATATCTTCACATTGCTAGATCACCTCACTTTATTCTCATTAGAGAACTTCATGAGATTTGTCTTGTTTTAAGTTGAGGAAATGAATATTCAAATAGATAAAGTGTTTTTCACAAGGTCATACAGAGTGAATAACAAGACCAAAATATAAATCTGCTTCTTCGAAGTCCAAACCTGACATCTTTTCATCTACACCAGACTTGTCATTCCTGACATATTAGGTTGCGTAATTATTTGTAGTGGGGATCTGTCCTCTGCAATGTAGGGTGTCAGCAGCATCTCTGGCCTCTACTAAGTGCTAGTAGCATTCCATCCTCTCCAGTTATAAAATCAAAAAGTTCTCCAGACATTGCAGAATATATCCCGAGGGACAAAAATACTCCTGGTTAAGAACTATTGATTTATACTGTGGTACCTCACCTCTAAATTTTTAATAAAAAAATATTTATCCAGTTAAAATAAAGTGTATGGAGAACACCTGATTAATTGAGCAATTACTATAAATAAATGAAACATACCAGAGTAAGTGCATAGCATAGAATGCTGAGTTATGTGATCTCATGGAAGGACTGAAGTATGCCTGCTGATGGAGACGAGAGGAGCCATGAAAAGTAGCATCAAAACCTGGTGTAAATGGAAAATCACCAGTTGCTCAAATAAGCTGAATCCATGTGTGATATTTCAGTTGAGAGAGAGAGAGAGAGAGAGAGTTCAACAAGTGGGTAAGCAGATAAGCTGAGAACATAAGTATCTTCAAGCAAAACATAAAAGTGGGTCATAAACTGGTAACTCCAAGATATTTTAAGCTGAAGCAGTACAGAGAGACAGAGACCGGGGAAATAGGACCACAGACACAAGGAAATAGACCAGGAGATAATGAAACTAAGACAGAAACCACTGCAGTAAGGAAGCTTCTTACGTGCTACTTACTGGTACAGTGCCCTTCAAGAAGTATTTTCTACCTTGATCTATGGCTGGACTCAGCATGGTGAGCAGCATAGGAGATAAGATACAGTTTCATTTGATGTGAAGTAGAAGTATGATAATAGGAAAGATCACTAAGTAAAAATATTATTTAAGTCTCACTCTAGTAAATTAGAAAAATTAAGAAGTACATCATTTCAGAACTGGAAGAGTAAATTGAAACTTTGTTTATGGTTTTACCTCATTAAATTCATAGTAAACAGAAATAGTTACTGTTCTATGTCAATATTGTGTGAGCTACATGTTTTGGAACTTTTGGGAGAGATTTAATTGTTCTTTTGCTATTGTTTTTATCATTTATTCTTATTCTAACTTAAAATTTCCCATTAATTCTCATTTAAGTGCCAGTAAGTTGTGATGCTTCTGCCATGCTGAAAATGCATTTGAAAATCAATAACTTTGAAAAGAAGTTATATATGATATAATACTGTGAAGAAAGCTAACCAGTGTGGAGCCCTGTTGTCTGTTTAGGGAAGAGCCCTCTGAAGGAAAAAATAGTGCTGAAGTAAAAATGTTCTTCATGCCTCATAGATTTATATGTGCTGGGAATCTACCCCCTCTACTTTCTATGAGAAAATTTCCTTATGATTATGAACATTTTGATTTATTGAAGTTCTTAGGGACTGTGTTCTTACCATAAAATAAAATTACCCTATGTAAATAGCACAATAATATGGTGGAATTGGGAAGTAAATCACAAGATAAAACTGAAAAAAACTATTCTAAGAAGGAAAATAACAGGGTCAGTGAGAAAGAATAACAAAGAGGGAAGGAACATCAAAATTTAGATTTAAGTATCATAAAAGGTTTGAGAAAGAAGCGCTTGTGCTCATATCTAATGTGTCAATAGGAATTTGTCAGGTCGAGGAGGAAAGCACATTCCAAACAAATGCCTCAAGCAGGAAAAATCTTGATGTACTTGAGAAACTGAATGGCTAAAAGGAGAGGAAGCAGAGAGACCAGGTAATGCAGAGTTTTGTAGCTCAAGACAAGATGAGAGCAATGCTCCAGCCCAGGATAAAGACCTGTATGGGTTCAGATTCTGGCTTTGCTAGGTGTGTGAGATTAATTAAATTACTTGCCTCTCTGTTTCAATTTCTTCATCAGGAAAAAATGTAATACTGGTAGGACTTTTCTCATAGTTGTTGTGAGGTTTCAGTAAGTTAAAATATGTAATTTGTTATTATTTTTAGAAATTTTTTCTGAGTGCAATGAGATGCTACTATCTCATTAGATATTACTTAATTTATCTTTTTAAAAGATCCCTCCAGCTACTGCTTCTGTTTGAGAAAGTCTTGGTGGGAATTTAAAGGTTTCCAAGGCATTTTGAATGATGAGTAGCTTTTGAGCTTGAGAGTAAAAGGTCCCAGCCATAGGTTCATCTGAGAAAAATCAAAATCAGGTATAAATTTGCCCAAAAAAATATTGTGATAGAGGAGTAAGAAGTGATGAGCAATTAGACTTAAATCAGATTACCATGATCTTAATAATGATGGTATTTTAAAAACAGAGTCATTGATCTTAATATTTAATTATTTAGGGTATACTGAATAGTGTGTTAGACATCGCAGACAAATGTAGAATTCCCAAAGCTGGCCCACTGTGAGTTTTAAATGAGACCATATATGTAAAATTAAAATAGAAAGGAATGGGATAGATTAATATTTTTTTAAATACGACACAAAAAGCACTGCCATTAAGGAAACAATGATAAATTGGACTTCATTCAAAATAAGAACTTACATTCATCAAAAGACAATATTAAGAAAATGAAATATTACAGCACCTCTGAGACTGGCTAGTTAAAAGGACTGGCAGTCCCACTCAAAGGAAGCAGGTAGAGAGCAGCTGAAACTCCCATACCTTGCTGATGGGAATGTAAATTGGTATGACCACTTTGGGAAACTGTATGCAGCATCTCCTAAATCCAAACATTCATACCTATGGAGAAATTCTATTCCAGAAATGAGTTATGTATGTCAATTATCTCACCACACCCAGAAAATAATGAAAAGAAACAAAAACAAATATATTTAGACCCATCAGAAAACATGTGCAAGAATATCAATAGCAACAGTAGTGGAATGGTTAAATAAATTGTGGTATATTTGTATAACAGAATATAGCAGTAAAAAATAATGAAATACATGCAACAACAGGATGGATCTCATAAACCTAATGTTACATGAAATGAGCCAGACAAAAAGTTCAAAAACATGCAGTATGGATCTTAATAAAGGTTGGTAAGTGACTACTTTTGGCAAGGCAAGTTACCTTGGGAGGGAACACTACAGAATGTTCTGGGTTTGTTCTGTATATTGTTCTTTACATTTTGCCAAGCTAAATACTTTAGATTTCTGCACTTTATGTAATTTAAAATATAGCTAACAATGAAAATGTTAGTAATAATTTTTTAAATGTAAAGAACATAAACAGATTTGCCTTTCTTTACATTTTTTGTTTTGTTTTTAGTTTCTTTCTTGGCTCTTCAAAGTAGACAAAGAGGGTGGACTGAAGGAAACTGGGACTTGGAATAGGAGGAATACAGAAAGTGTGAAAAGGCCTAGAAAAGATAAAAAAATGGGCAAGAGACAGCAGTCTTTAGGCATATAGATTTGTAGAAAGAACTGAGAGGTAATGCAATGAATGTTAAATGAGTAACAAAGTGTAAATCGTGCAGAAAGATACTCTTTTGCATTTTACAAATGTGGCACTATACACCATTCTTATTTTGTATATAGTAAGCGATTGACCACAGTTGGCCATCACACTTTCCTCTTCAGAATTAATTTGAATCCTGAAATGGTTTCTTTTGGTATGCTAAGTGTCCCTGTGTCATGTCTGTCTTATTTCTGTGTGACACCTTCTTCAAAGTGAGATCGCTGCAGAGGCTTTTGGTTACTTTAACAAAAAAAGATAAATTTATAATCACTTCAGTTTGAACAGTTTTAAATTCCAAAGGGCTAAAGTTCCCTGACTAGCTTTTTGCAGCTTTAAGAATTATATGACTTACTTTCACATTATCAATCCATATTATATAGTTGGGTTGTTTTATTCAAGTCTCCCATCGACATTTCTTTTGTATGCATATACTGAAATGACTTTATTTAATAAAAAAAGAACATCCCCTGTGTGGATTTTAAATTTCCCTTATTAAATATTTATATTTTCAAAATGTCTTTATTTAATTGAGTGAGGTGCTTGGTGCCATTTCAAAATAACCTCAGGTGGTAGGTGTAATGACATATCAAAGATTTGACCTTTAGCATTTTAGGATTCTATTTGTCTGCATTTTCTTCTGCATTCATTTAGTCTTAATTTATATGCTACTTATCTGTGTGACTTAATCAGTGGGTGTATTTGGCATAAGATTCATTAACAAAAAGAAAATATACCCAAATATATATTATTCTGTGCAGTCTGACTAGTGACTTTAACTGCATTTATATCTGTGGATAAGTCTGATTGTTATTTGTACAAACCTCATTCATTCTCATTAAGTGTCCAGCCGAATAGACCCTGGATCTACTAAACTGATGCCATTCTCTTACTTTTGAGTTCTTTGCAGTCAGCTTATTATATTCTTTTATTTACAAAGATACTTTATTTTCTAATTCTCTGCTATTCCTTTTAAAGAAAATAGAACATAATATTTACACTGATATAATTAAATTAACATCTTGCAGCATCTTTTTGTATGTTTTGGTAGTGTAGGTAATCATTTGTCTGTGTAGCTTTCATCCTGGAAGCAGAGAAATGAGATAATTATCAAATATAATACTGTGTTAAAAATTATTTTCACTTACCCATTTAAGTACGTCTTCAGTGATTTTTAGAAATGGATATTTCTAACTGGAGATTTTTATTAAATAGATTATTGGTCAGTCAGCCTATATACTTATGTGTAAATTATTTATATTTTGCCAGTTTACACAAATCTTTATCCCAAGAAGAAAATCTGAAGGATCAGTTTAATCATACCCTTAGTACCTATGAAGAAGCTTTAAAAAACAGAGAGAACATCGTTTCCATCACTCAACAACAGAATGAGGAACTGGCTGCCCAACTGCAGCGAGCTCTGACAGACCGGGCAAACGTAGAACTGGAGCTTCAGGAAGCCATGGAGGCCTCCCACGCAGCCAATGAGAGAGTTCGAAAGTAAGTAAACCGATCGTGCAGTGTTTCGAAAGCATGAAACACAGCAAAACAAAAACACTTTTGTTGTCACCTAAATAATGAATTCGTTTTTATGCTGTTAATAGTTTAAGACAAAAGTAGATTTTGAGCCAAATGAACTTTTTTTAGATTGCCTGTCATAATCATATTTGGGGTCAAAAAGTCATTTATTTGGGCATCCTATTTACTGTCTGGGGCAAACCATGTTTACTCTAATAACTGATTTTCATCAGTGAAAGGAAGCCATACTATTAAACTCATTTCATAGGTAACAAGTTGTTAGCAAGGGGAAGAAGCAATCAAGTAACCAACTTTACTCATTTAGCTACACAATAATCCTGCTTGAGTTGAGAATCTGCAACCTTGGAATCTGGGCACATAGAATATGGTATACAGTGAAGTTAATTTTCATGTATTGTTTCATGTATTGTTCTTCCGAAGTATTCAATACAGCTTTTCATAGTGCATAATTACATTTATTTTCCAAGATCTTTGCATTTTTATTAAAATTTAAATAAAACTGCATAATCAATCTTTATGATAGCAAAATGTTAACAAATAATTTATCAGACAAAGAAGTCACTTGTTAATTTATGGGACTTGAACACTGTTGCAGAATTTTCTAAGACAGCTTTAAAGTAATAGAATTTGTCACTTTAACTGAGCCCTTCTTTATGTATTAACAGCATTACATCATTCACATACCTAATCGCTTTCAATTTTGAAGACATAACTTTTTCTGTAACAAATTTTTTTCAGTTTTGCAATATGAAGAAAGCTAACTTAAAGGTTTCTTCTCACTGCTTTTTATTTGAAAATAAGTCATCTCAACCATTCCCCAACATCCCTGAAATTATATTTTGGTTAATAGCCCAAGGTCAGGTAAATCTGTAGTCAAGACTGTTTTAAAACAGATTAGAAATTACACATATTAATTTTTACTCTTGATGTACCTTGAAACTTGTGGTTTATGATATTATATTTTTTGTAAATTTAAAGATTAAGTTTACATTCATTCAGAGACTGTATGCAATTATTCACAATGTACATTAACATTCTAAGAACACCAAGATATTTAGGTAGAGCTCATTCCAGTGTAAATTACAAATCAGTAACTTTTGACAACCAGGGTCTGATTTAGCTCTGTTGGCTTAAGTCTACAGATAATTACAAATTTCAAAGGATTTTTACACATAATCCTTTAATTTCTGTACATGACTAAGATTTCCTAAAACAGTGTTTCCCAAAGACCAATTAGATTTCTCAAAAAACCTTTGGAAATGCTGTCAACCTTTATTTTTTAGATCTCATCAACTGTCATTGTCATCTTGTAAAAGAAAGTAAAAATAACATCATCTCGGATAATACTTTAAACTGAATGAGTTTAACCATTTGAAAAACTTGCTCTATTGTCCTTATACTTCACCTTTAACCAGAGATAGATCAAAACTTCTTAATGGAAAGGTACCAAACTACAGAGTTTAAATGCAACAATTAATGTCATTTACAATAGTAAGATTTTAATTTAAATGTTAAATCTTTTATTCTGCTTTCCAGCTATAAGACCTGGATAAAGTATATCAAGCTTTCCTTTTCATATTCAACCTACTGTATTTCATTTTTAATTGCCCTCCATTGGGCAGTGTATCTTAATTGCAGTAAATATGGACATCAGCCTGTTTTACTTGGTTTAGGAAGATAACCTTCTAGGAAACCAGCTTATAAGACTTTGTTAGGTGGTATTAGTATTCTCCACATAATCTGAAATTGCTATTATTAGCAGTTATTTTTGAAGGTCCCATGTAAAATATGTCAGTATTCCAGGCAGTAATTACAATTTAAACTAAAAAAGGTTCACATTTCCCCTTTGCCCTTCGCAATGAAATTTCTTAAGTAACTGATCTAAATTCACAATCTTTAAGCTTTTAGTGCCCATTTACTCCTCTGCTACTCAATATACTATGGCTAGCTCTTATACTGAAATTGTTCTTAAGATTACCAATAATTTCATAACTATTATATTTAAAGGCCCATTCCTAATTATATTTTATTATAAAACTAATATATGATCATGGTGAAAAATAAGTAAAGATCCTCACCTATCTTCAGCAATATAGCATAATGGCTCCTCAGGCTGTGGATTCAAAATGCAGAGGTATATGAACTTAGGCATTTTATTTTAAAGCACTGTTCTTATGTCGATAGTAATACTTCTACCTCATAATGTTGTAAGAATAATATGAGATAAAACATGTAATGCTTTTAGAACAACGCATGTTGCATAGTCCCTCTTTATCTTGTTATTCCACTCCACAATGCAATATCCTTCTTCAGAAGAGCTCTGCTTTTTCAAGACTAAATGCCTTTATATATGTCCGTCCCTCTACTTGGAGCCTTTTGCCTTTTTCTACCATGAGAAATGTATTCATCCTATGAGATTCAGTTCAGCATAGAGGGTAGAAAGTAGACTTTTTAGTCAAGTCAGACAGAACCGTTTGAACCCCTGCTTTCCTTTTTATTACCTGTGAGATTTGGGGCAAATTACTTAACCCCTGGAAGCAACAGTTCCAAGTTTAAAAAATTCAAACAATAATTCTGGCCTCATAGGCAGGGTTGATAGGAATAACTGGCTAGCATGTAAAATGCCTACTTCAGTGCCAGTTAAATTTAATCATAAGCATTTGATACATTATTAGTTTCATCATATTCATCAAACTAGAAAGACTAGTTCAATTGCCTCTTCTCTGGAAAAACTTCTCCAACTTCCTAAAAAGTTAAATCACTCTCTTCTGTGTGTTGTCATAATACTTTTATTAAAAATTACTCCCCTAAAAATAAAGCCCTCTTCATTCTCTTGTATTTCTTGTCTCTGTTAGTGATCTTTGGCAGTTTCAGCCCTGTCGTTGTTCCCTCACTCTTTCTTACCTTTCACATTCACTTTGCCTCAGTTCCCATTTATCTACTGCCTGTGTATCTCCTGATTCCCTCCACCCCATCTTCACTTGTTAATTGTGTTAATTCAGGCTCTTGTCATCCCTCATCTAAACTGTTGAAATACTCATAAAACTAGTTTACCTGCCTCTAGTTTCCTCAAGTTTATCTTCCTCACTGCCAACAGAGCTAATTTTTCTAAAACATAAATCAGATTATATTACTTCCTATTTGAAATCTTTCAGTGGCCCTCCATCCCCCACTACAAGTTAAAACAACTGAGCATGACAGATGAAGCCTATTACTGGCCTTCTCCCATTTTTCTAGTATCATTTCTTCACACAACCGCTACCGCTCTACGGTTATCTGCACATGCTAATTCTTCTTCTTAGAATGTTATCCTTCCTTTTAGTATCTGGCTAAATTATTGTTATTCCTTAAAATCTGGTCTAAATATTGCCCCTGTGAGACTTCTTTATTTTTCGTTCATCATTCTCATAGTACTTAGTCCATACCTCTATTAGAGATCTTAATCATCTAGGTATTATAATTGTTCTGTGTCTATTTCCTGTCTACTCTACTCCCTGCAAAATTACCCGTCATTGAGCTTTCCCAAAACATGGACAGTGTTCTATTCATCTTTGTTTCTCCATCTCCAAACACCCACAAACATGCCTGCTGTATGGTAGGTACTCCACAAATGCATATAAACAAATGAACTAGAACAATTTAATAGTTTGATGGAATTACAGAATAAAATAAAAGCAGGTCAGGTCAGGAATACACAGGAAAATTTCAGGTGTGCTCTGATCCATTTTAGGCCCAGATAAAAATTTTTTACCCCAATCTAGTCCCCAAAGCCCACCAGATTCATAGAAAAGTATGACCTTCGTGGCTAGTCCTGCCTACCTTCACTCACTGACCGGGCTGCTCCAATTGCTTTCCTCAGAATTATGATCTCTTACTTCCTAGTGATTAACTTTTCTAACCTCCCTTGTTCTAACCACCAACTTCCATCAAGTTTAATTATATCAGACCTGAAATCTTCAGAGATAGCAGAGAGAGACCATATAATATTTCTAATAATTGTAGAATTTTAAATTTGTATTTTATTTTCCTTCCGAGTCAAAAGAACTTCTTAAATTTTTTAACCTATTCCTGGAAAGGAAAGTTGTGCAGAATTACCATCCATAAACTAGCCAATATCTATAGGCAGATAATCACTTATAGGGTAAAATGTAATGAATGCCAGGCCTTATTGCCCAAAAATAACTTCATAAAGCCTAAAGTTTCACCAGCAGATATCTATTCCCTCTGGTTAAGCATTACTTTCCTTACACAGTTCTCTTTAAAATAAATAAATGTTTGTGGAAGAAGAGGACATTGTGATTTAGCCTTTAGATTGCTCCGTTGCTGATCTTGGATGCACTTGGTTGGAGTTACGTGGAGGTAGAGGGAATTAAAGAACAGGTTAAGAGCACAGAAACTTTGAAAGAAAACTTCTCTTAATAATTGTGCCAAAGACCATCCATAATCCTCATTTACTAAAGAGAAAACTGACTTGCCAATCTATTAGATGATGTTTTTATCATAGGGGACTTAAAACTTTATAGTTCTTTATGCTGTATTTTATTTTCCATCTGTCTTCCTATCTGCAGATATGTTTTTGTGTCCTAGAACAAAAGCTTTCCAAAGGATTTTTAAATGTATTTTATTGTACTTAATGTGTCTAAGCTACACATACTTGAAATAAAAGTTTACAACCAAGCTTATAACATTAGAAGCTCTCTCAAAGATCTAGGTTTATAGTGAGGTAACTTTTGTTACATATCATCTTTACTATGGGCCAGATTTAACACTGATATGATTCAAATTCCCTCATAAATTATAGTCGTATATAGATTGCACAAAGATAATAAGGAAAAAATTGTAAACTTTTAAACATATCTTCAAGGAAAAAGTGTAGCAACTATTTAGACTCTCCTTGCTGTAACTTGCTTTAAAAAACTATCAGTTATTTAAAACATGAACACATTGTAAAGATTTTTAAT